TGAGGCGTTAGGCAGCCAAAGGTAGAGTATGTACAGTTTTAAACTAAAGTGCTTCAGGTTTATCTTTTCTTTAGAAAACAGGATGTTAGATTTTCAAATATAACATAAAATATTTACTGAATACCCACTATGCGCTTGTCTGCATAAAAGTACAAAGAACATTACCTTAAGTGTACCATCTCACAGAAAAGCTAGTTATGAGCTCAAGAGACTGAGTTTATTCAAATCAAATGATTTACTTCCTCCCTATCACAAGGCAAATTTAGCAATACCCAAGCACTAGGTCTTAACTCCATTTCAGTACAATCAACCCCCACACTTGTTTGTACCTAAGCATGGTTTCAACCTTAAAATTAGCAGTTTAGTTTGAAATCTGTAACTGAAAAGGAAACCCGGTTTAGTTAAAATAGTCTACTTCCTCTCCTGATCAACCTACTAATCGTAACTATGAAAAAAAGCAAAATTTACTCCTTTAGAGTTCCTCCTCCTCTCCTTAGTTCTACGTATACTGTAAAAGCTGATGCTGCCAAGAACTTGACCATCAAGACAGAAGGGGCCAAATCACAATGACTTTACAATCCAGCAACCAGAAATCATATCCCAGCTGTTGAATATTCTCCCATTTTTTTAAAGATCTGTATGGAAGTGAGGGAACAACAGGGGAAAACTCAGACTGTTGGACTCAAAGAAGCTAATAATTAAGCACTGGATCAGCAGCAGCTACTGAACTACTCCTTCTAGGAAAATCTCAACACTTAGGTTAGTCAAAAGTTTCAACAGCTATCACAAAAAGTACTAGCTGACTCAAAGTAAAAAATAATAATAATAATAAAAGTGGTAATTTTAGGCAATGCTTTGCCTACCCACAGCCTAGCTATCCCTTATTGCTAATTAATAGGTAACAGAGAAAATCTCCTGTAAATAAATGGGATTGCAACATCTCCCAAACAAACATATTTGTTTAGGCCCTGAGAGCAGTGCTGATCTGGGAACAACACATTCAATTCCATTGAAAAAATAATAAACTTGAGCCTTTAGACCAGATGTACTCACAGGTGTCTGCCCCAGTTGTTGTATGTATATGCAGTAAGCTTGAGTTTTATGAAGTATGCTGGGCAGAAGGAGTCCTGCAGGACTGCTGGACTCAGGAGTGGGTAGAGCTCAGCCTTTCCAGAGACTTTCTTGTTCTTGCATTTCTCCTGAATGCTTGGTTGCCACTACTGTCAAAGTTCTATTACTTCCCAAAAGTCACAGATCTTAAACATTATACCAAAAGAAATGAAACAAACTCCCGAATATACACCCGCACAAATCTCAGTAACAAGTGCTGTAGTTTATAAACAGAGTGCGCTGGAGTCTGGAGAAGCAAGGAAGATCATATTTTTCAATATATCATTAAGGTTCACAGATTTCTGAAAGCAAGATAAAACAATTGGGGGATTGAGGACAACTTTCATTAAACATCAATGATGTTGGACCTTTAAATAGGTACTAGAAATGTAATACGTTTAGGTATATTTTTATATATGTGTTATATTTGCACAGTAAAAGTTTAAAAAAACAAAAAGACATGAAAGTCCCCACCATCCAATGTCTTTCAATCAAATACTTATGTAATGACATTCTCACTTTCTTACTTGATAAATGTTATCTGGGCACAAAGATAAAATCTGAACTTCATTTTCACATTTTCTATCGGTCCCAAGAGTTAATATTAATCCCTATGGTTGTATGCTACACTAGTTATTTAAAGATTGAGCATTTGTTATATAAAACCTAGCTCATTAATTTAATTCTCTAGATCCAAACATAAGATATCGTATTATACACACTGTTGATAGTAAACAACTTGTGAAATCTGCTTGTAAGAAGTGATAAAGAATTTCAGGAAGACTGTGCTTCTCTTTTCCAACTGCGAAAATTCTTACATTACCTCAAAGCATCTTCAGGGCATTAGGGCCTGGCCAAACTCTCTCAGAATGGATTTTTAAGTAAAATTAATGAAAAACTTTTATTAATTTTTCTAGCTGAGGTTTATTAACCCTAAAATATACAACTTAAATTAAAACAGTAAAGGTCAACTGTTGACTCCAGGTCTCAAAGGAATTCCTCCCAAAAGTACAGGGAAAGCCTTCCAAACACTAACTTAGCTGCGGTCAGCTAGCTGCCCCAGGGTGGGAGAAACTGGAGCACCCTGAGTTGGGCCGACTTTTGCCCGAGTCTGGTCAAGTGGTGGAAAACACAGGGTTGTGGGAGGAAGGAAACAGTGAAAGCCAGAACAACAGCAAATTGGTTGCTCTCAATCTAGGATGGTTTTAAAATATATCTTGCTTACCAGATGGACTACAGAGCTTTCTGAAGGTTCCATATTAACTGAAAGAAACTAAAATGGATACATCAGAGGAAATCAATCTCTTTCTAGATAAATCACTCTATTAGACATCAAAAATGATATCTAGTGACTGACTAACTTGGCTCTAATAAGACTACGGAATTCAGTACCCAAACTCAACAAAGAAATATAATACATTATAACTTAGTTTTACTACGTTTGGTGTTCTCATCAAATTAAGGTTTACATAATAGAAGTAGTGAAAAAAATAATAATCAACTCAAATGCTGAATGCTGTGCTACGTAATGGTTTTCATTATAATGTTTAGCTCTGAAGTGAGCTAGAAGACATTCTGGGAGAGATATAAATCTCAAGCATTAAATGTTTCAGAAAAAAGGAGCATATTCATTAGGGCTTCATATAAAATGTTCCTTTCAAAAAAAAAGTCATAAGCTAAGGAGCCACAGAGTAACATGCTCTAGCTTCTCTATCAGATCTTTCCATAAGCAGGCTGGGGTCTAACAGTAGGCAAAGAATTACTAAGAGGCAGGACAGCTAGCAGCTGAGAGCCTAGACTCCAAAGATCACCTATTTAGCTTTTAGCTGTGTGACTTTGGGCTAGTTCACCTCTCTGTGCCTCAGTTTCCTTACCTACTGGATAATGGTTGTGGGAGTCATGTTTATCTTGGAAAACACATAGGCTGATGTCAGACTCATGAGTTGGGCTTACAGCACGTTTATCCTGTCCACCTGCTTGGGGATTCACTGGATCTTCAAAACTCAATCAGCAAAGGGTGCCTTCTTGCACCGAAAATCCAGTACTGAAAATCTGAGAAAGACATCCTTAAGTATAAAAAGCTCCACCTACCAAACCCTCTCCTCCTCTTGCACAGGAAACAGAAAACACACAGGGCCTTCTCTTCCAGGATCCACTGTCACTTTCCATCAAATGTATTAAGCTCTAAGCAGAACTTCAGGCCCTTGACAAGACTAAGGCTGGATATTAAAATACTAGAATTAACTTTGTCTAAGATTTCCTAGTAACTGAATGAGTCACTCAGTTCTTTAGAGACAGTAAAATGTCAAGGTTGCGAGAGAACCTCTGCCCCAGATGTTTCCATAAATGATTTCTAAGTGATCAAACTAAAGCCAAAGGACATTATTAAAGATAACAATAGAAGTAAAATATATCAGTTGTTTTGCTTTTCCCTATAATGAATAAATTCTGAAAATAGGATTATGTGGGTGGGGGAGCACAGGAAGTTTAGCCCTAAAATTATTAAAGACCATATTAAACAAGCATTAGAACTCTTTTTGCTCTTGCTTCACAGAGTTTACCCTTTTTAAAACTTTTATCCAATTTTATCAAAAAGCACTGGACAAACTCTAAAGTCAAGATTCAAAGATATCCCGTAGTGCTTATCTCAGTATATTTACCCAATCACACTACTTAGGAGTAGAGCGTTTTAAAACTTTTCATGTATCTGTTTACAAGATTTTCAATACCTCTCTCCTGCAAAATATTTTGAGTGTTCTGTATTCATGATAGCATCCACAAAGGGATCTTTTTTCACTTTCATAACAATTTAGGTAAAGTTAGTTGTTTAATTTTTAAAAATTCAAGCTTTTTGCGCTAGCATATCACAAGAACAAACGGCTAGGATACTCTGATCATTTAAAATGTCAGACACACAAAAAAATTAAAACGTCAACTTGTTCACTCTTATGTTTCTCTATCCCTGAGTCAAGCAGTTGTAAGATCAGCTTGTCCGGGTTTTGAGTTCTTCAGGTTCATTCATTACAGAGGGTCACTACAGAACTTCCAGTTTCATTAAAATTTCTTAAGTATACTGGTCACTGGCAAAAAAAAAAAATCTAGAAACTGAAATACACGCTGCGCGGTTATCCTTCCAAATAAAATCGGTTGTCTCCGTTCGCTTATTTTTAGTAACTTCAAATAAAACACTGAAGATGGGTCGTTTTCCTAACTCGTTTGACAACTGCAACACTGGGCACAGGGCTGAGCGCCCCACAGCTTCCGGCTGGAGTATGACACACGCTTCCCCACTAGGCTACAACGTCTGCTCCAAACGAACCCGATGTAATAGCTGAAAAATGACGACACTAAAACCTAAGGTCTGCAACACGAAATAAACTTCTGTTTATTTCTTAAGAGATAGCACGGTAAAAACACCGCCCCGATGGAGTCTGTGTGATCCACTTCCACGACTGGATGCGCGCAGGAGATCTGTACAGCTTAACCCTGTGTGGGGCGAGGGGGTTACCCAAAAGCGGTAACCCGGCGCTGATCAGGCCAGGGAGAGCCTCACGCCGCGCCCGTTCGCCGGCCAGCAGGTGCCCGAGGCCACCCTAAAAGGCCCGGGTGCGACTGCGGGAACATAGCCACTTCCCCCCGAATGCGATCCCGCCACCGCATGCTGCCCGGCACTTTGTTAACTGGGGCGCCCGGAAGGAGGAGGCTCCCGGGTCGCGGTCACTGCTGTCCCAACGCTGCAAAACCGAGCGGGAAGGGGCTCGGATCCTCCCCCAATTAGGGCTCTCCTTGCCCCGGCGCGGAGTCTCGGAGGGAAAGAAAGGTCGAGAAACAGCGGGTAACTAGGGGCCCCCACGCCTGCCCTCTCGGAGCTCCGCGCCCCTGGTGCTTACCTGGGGAAAGGAGCCCTCGCGGCGCGGGCTCCTGGGGTAGTCTAAGTGACCCCGGTCCAGCATCAGGTAGAGCGAGAAGATCACCACGCAAAAGATCGCGCTGCCGAACACGGTGAACTGGCGACTTAACTTCATTTTCCTCGATAGACTCGGGGCCAGGACAGTGATCACCCGGAGGAGGCAGACCCTGGACTCCCGGAGGCGGCCGCCGGTGGCTCCCAGCTCGTGTCCTCCGCGCTTTCGGCTGCGGGCGAGGGTCCCGGCACCGCCACGCGCCCTCGGCCTTCGCCCTGGCCCGCCGCTCTCCCTGGGGCCGGGCGTTCCTCCCGAGGCGAGCCCAGCCTGCAGCCCGAAAGGGGCTCCCGAAAACTTGGTCTCGAGCTTAGCGCTGGTACCCGGCGGGGCGAGCGCCGCAGGCAGACGAGAGGTCGCTGCCCTGACTTCCTGCCACCGCCGCCCCGACCCGAGTCCGCAGGAAAAGTTTTCTCGACAAGGGTACGCGGGTCCTCCGCACCCAGGGGTTGCGGGTACGGCGGCTCGGGGGCTGGTGGCGCGGAGCTGGGTCCCAGGAGCCTAGAGGAAAGAACCAGGTCGGGAGGAGCCGGGCCCCACAACTTAGCGCCGGGACGGCTCCGCCC